GGGAAACTCAATATCTTATGAAGGGAACATTCTTTTGAACTGAAATTTGCAGAACATTCTAGTTACAAGTAGGCCTACTTGTGGGTCGAAATATCGTGAAATATCGCGAAATATCGTGATTAGTGTTTTTGGTAGATACCATGCAATAGGCTAAAATTCCAGTATAATGACTGTAACTCTGGAGAGAAAGCCCATCAGCGCATAGCCTTTCGGAGTTTTTTATACCTCACCGGGGTCTATCTAATACCCATGCTCCGAACTTGAAAGCGGCTTGACAGTACAAACCGTTCCATTATCGGGTTTAAACATTAGGTCCGTATCAGTAAAAAAGAAATATCCTTATAAAGAAAGAATTTATTGCTAGATAACAAGCCAGAATCTTAATAGCGTTAATAATAACGCTAAATACTTTGTGCGACATCACGCTGGATTATTTCAACAATAAAGGAATGACGATTACTCGTTCAAGTGAATTAATAAAGTAATAGATATACAAGCGCGATATGGACAGTTTCAGTCAAATCTGTAAGGTGCTAGCAAAAATAATTTTTTACTTCGACACAATATGCCTTATAATATGCCTTGCTTTTTATCTTCACTCATTCTATCGTTTTTTTATGAAATTATCGTATAGTTCGATTAAACGCGTATTATGATACTAAGAATTCGACGTAGAATGCCTTCATCCATCTAAACCCGAACTCGAAATTCAAAACGTTTTAGGAGTGGGCTGCCTTATAGAGAAAATCAGCTAAACTACATATGGTCTCTCATTCAAGAACAAACCTTACCAGTACCACATTTCCTTTTTTGACATGTCAAAAATCATCCACTAAGAACTAAGCAGATGTTAAAACAGAAGGTTCGTATCCGCGCGTCAATATAGGCGACGGTCTGTATGAGAACCGCTAAAAGCAGTAATTTTCTTATGAACTTTTGCACTACTTTTATTTCACACATAACTGTATGAGAGTTTGACAAAAAAACTTGCTGAAGCAACAGAGATGAGGTCGAATAAGCATCAAAAACAAGAACATTCTATTCTCGGACTGTTTTATTGATTTTGATACGCTAGTACATTAAGAGAAATGAGAGCATCGGAACTCGGTACCAGTGATTTGCAAGTTTAGTCTCGTTGAATGATTTTTACCAATGTGTTTTGCATCTTGTAGATTATGTCTGAAAAACGCGAACTGTATCCGCCTGTTGAACCGTATCAAAGTGGATATATAAACGTAGATGAAGACAAGCACTCTTTATACTATGAACAGGTGAGTACAATATAAGATCTAGTCGAACAGTATCTGGGCTGATGAAGAGCATCAGCATCGTTTATCCTCTTCTATCAATTTCTGTTCTACATTGACGCGAAATAGCTCTGTTCTCAAGTCAATAACATTTGAGCGTCTGAATAGATCCAACACTATACTGCTGTATATGTCTAGCGTTTTTTATTAGATCGGAAATCCAAATGGTTTACCAGTCGTCTTTCTTCACGGTGGTCCAGGTTCGTCCTTGAAGCCATCGTATCGTCAGTTATTTGATCCTAATGTTTATCGTGTGGTTTTGTTTAATCAAAGAGGCGCAGGAAAGTCGAAACCAGGCGGAAGTCTTATTAACAACACAACATGGCATTTAGTAGATGATATAGAACATATAAGAGAAATCTTGAATATCGATAAATGGGGGGTTGTCGGTGGTTCATGGGGTTCAACTCTCGCTTTAGCTTACGCTGAAAAATATCCCGACAAAGTTCACTTTCTCGTTGTTTGTTCGATTTTTACATGTAGTTCAACAGAACTTAACTGGACGTACGATGGAAATATTGGTGCAGCACAATTATTTCCTGAAGCGTTTGAACGTTTTAGAAAAAAAATCCCAGATAATGAACAAACAAATTTATTACAAGCTTACCATAGACGATTGACTTCGGATGATTTAACAAGGGCAGAAAAAGTGAGCAAAAAACTTGATAAAAGAAATGTGCTTGTTTCTTAGAATTCCCAAACAACGAATAGTTTTCTCGTTTATTTTCAGATAAAATTTGCTATAGAATGGTGTCGATGGGAGACAATAATATCAACTTTTACTTATTGTCCCGAAAGTGTTGATGCTGATATTGAAAAAGCGCAACAAGTAAGACTTTCAGCAAGCATTTATTAAATCATCAGCTATATATGTCTGAAATTATCTTACACGAGAGAACTTTTGTACCTCAGATCGATAGATCGTTTCTACCGGCTTTCTCTCCTTATAAGAAAAGTTTCATAAAAATCGGTTATCCACTGTGGTGAATAACACAGTAGTTCACTTCTTATCGATACGGATCTAAAAAATTTGACGAAAAATCTTTATACTTGTGCGATCAGTTTGGTGTCTCACTCAAAAATCCTCAAGAGAAATGTAAGCTATATCGTACAAACCGACACTCATTTAATTCACTATGAAATCAGCTCAGAATGTGTGAAACGTCAAAAAATAAATCAAAAACTCTTTATTTCCATAGTTTTCCAAACCTTTTTAACCTTGTATCGCACGAAAAGGCATCGTACAGTGTGTTTCGTTTCAAGACACATGCAACGTATATGCATGAACGTACGATCTTGCATGAGTTCAGTCTGATTAGGAAAGTATTGAAAAGTAGGATAAACAAACTTGGATGCACAGTACGTTCTGCTTTTGATATTGCAGGAACAAGATGACGCATTGATCAACAAAGCCGCTATTGAAACACATTATTTTATTAACGGTGGTTGGTTCGACAGCGACAAACAACTGATAAAAAACGCAGATAAATTGTGTAAGTTCTAAAATTTCATCGAAACATGTGTAGACAAAAGTGCAATCCCTAGTGAAACTTCTTGTATCCAAGATCTTGGATTCTTGACTCTTCCACTCAAGACCTTGAAACATCTTGGCTTACTCCACTCAAGATCTTGAGAACAGAAATTTTAAGACCTTGAGCGGAGTGAGCCAAGATGATGCAAGATCTTGAGTGAATGCATTCAGGATCTTGCTAGAGCTTGAACGAAAAATTTTCTTTATATTTTGTTTTCATTTATGACAGTCATAGCCATCGGATATTTGACCATATAGAGTCACAGAGTCCTTAAACAACCATGGTCAGAAAGGAAAAAAATTCGAAGTTATTCGAAGTGTGAAAATATTTGCACTTATATTTACATAAGAGTGTAAAACAAAACGATGATTCAAGAATTTTCAAGATCTTGGTATAAGAAGTCAAGATGTTCAAGATCTTGACTTCTTGGAATTTCTTGAATTCTTATATTTTCGGAAATAATTCAAGAAGTCAAGCTCTGTGTTACAAGAAGTTTTACTAGGAATCTCTCTATCTTTGCTATACTAGCGTCAATTCCTGGTACAATTGTTCACGGTAGATACGATTGTTGCTGTCCGGTATCAACAGCCTACCATCTTTACCAATCATGGCCCGATTCAAAGTTGATTATTGTTGCTGATGCTGGGCATAGTCAGTCGAATTCAGCACTACGCCAAGCTATTGTAGAAGCTATTGATCAATACAAACCGCCTGGTTAACTAAGAAAAAGCAAAAACTATGAATGCTTTTCTCACATATGTACCCAAACAAACATTATCTATGGGAAAAATCTAGATACACTTCGTCTGTAATCGGGCGATACACGACTAGTTGCCATCTAGATTACTAGTTGCAAAAGGGACTTTTAACTAGATGTGTCTGCACGTGTAACTAGCAATAGATAAATCGATCGATTATCGGGAGATCAATCAATAGTTACAACTAGAAGAAATCTATCAATCGCCCGATTACTAGATTTCTATTGTCGTTACGCAATAGTTGCAATCAAGTCAAAATCTAGTATCGCCCGATTCATCTAGATTACTAGATTTTAACTCGATTGCAACTATTGCGTAACGACAATAGAAATC